AATATATTGAAAGCATTTATTAACAGACTAGCAGAGTTATTCTATCTGCCCCTCAAATATTGAAACTCTGCTATCACGTCACCTCTAGCCTTCTTTTCACTAGAATATACGTACCCAATTCCTGCAATTGTTCTTTGTATGTTTTAGCCTTCAGCCCCCTTGTCTGTACTCTTTCCAGAGTCTCAACATCTTTTTTACAATATGGTGACCAAAACTGGATGCAATATTCCAAGTGTGGCCTTACCAAGGCTTTATAAAGGGGTACTAATGCTTCATGTGATCTTGATTCTATCCTTCTATTAATGCAGGCTAGGATTGTGTTGGCTTTTTTGGTGTCTGCAGCACACTATTGACTCATATCGAAGTGACTGTCCATTTGGACTCCAAGATTCCTCTTGGAGGCTTTGCTATTACGTCAAGTTTCACCTATTCTGTGTATTTGGTTTCTTTCTTTCTTTCTTTCTTTCTTTCTTTCTTTCTTTCTTTCTTTCTTTCTTTTTCTCTTTCTTTCTTTCTCTCTCTCTCTTTCTTTCTTTCCTTCCTTCCTTCCTTCCTTCTCCCCCTCCCTCTCTTTCTTTTTGATTCCACTCATTTCTCTTCCTAGGCATCGTATGCAAAAACAAGCCTCTTGCAGCCACAGTGATTCTTTGGATAAGAATATGAAACTTCAGAAGGTGAGATGTAAATAAATAAAATGATAGCAACCCCAACTGGGATGGCAACTTAGTTGTTAAGCAAACTGGCTGCTAAATGAAACTGCTCCTGTGCTTACAATTTTCTTTCAGTTTTCCTTTACTTCACAGATCTGTGAGAGTGATAAATGAGAAAATTGTTCCTAAAGTTACCATCATAACTGCAAATGGTGGCTAGAAAAAGGCAGTCATTATACGGGGACGACCTGTACTTTCTTTTCTCCAGGTAGACTTTGTTTGGATCAATCGAGACCAAAAATCCTTTGAGTGGTTCATCAGCCTGCTTACCCAACTGGAAGCCATCCAAGAGAGCGAAGAGCCAAAGGGTGGGTGCCTCCTTCCTCCTCGTCTTTGTCAGCCCCCATCCCAAACTGGGCCCTTTGGGAGGCTTCTGCAGCTTTACGACCGGACAAAATGGAGGCCTTGACAAAATCCAAACAGAAACAGTTTTATTCCATTTTTTTCTTTCCAGAACAGCCCGATGCAGGCTCAGGGGTGAAATATCCCCTCTTCCCTTTAGGCAAGCCTTCTCTTTTTGAACTTTATATCAAACAAGGGCAACGAGGGACTCGTGGCCAACACCCCTCCTCTCCATGAAGTCAGGCTTGTCATCTTTGATTTCAGCACAAATGCATGGGTGCTTTTTGCAAGTGCATGCACCCTCCTCCCCAGAGCTTTTCTACATGAATAGAAATATTGTCTCAATCAATCAGCCCACAGTGGACTTAACACATGGGGATTGGCCCGTTTGAACTGACTGGATGAACTATTGGGGTGGGATTTGCTTTTTGCTCCTTTAACCTATTGATTTGAGCGGAAACCCTCAGATCCTGCCTTCTATGCCTGCTGTCAACTTCTCCTAATAAAAGTTCCTTTTGGGATGACTCCATTCCAAGAGTTCTGCTTTCTTGGGAAGAGGTTTTGAAGCGGGTCCTTACAGCCATCTTCTCTCTTAAGTAGACCTACTGTTTCTTTGACTTTTTTCTTGTTATTTATATGTTGACAGAAACTTTTTTTATTATCTTTGACTTTTGTTGCAAGTCTTTGTATATTCTGAACCTTTGCGTTCCTGACTTCATCTTTGCAGATTCAGGCTATGTTCTGATATTCCGCCTCAGTTATGTGTCCCTTTTTCTGTTTTTTTTTTTTTGTGCTTGTCCCTTTTGTCTTTCAGTTTATCAGAGAGATCTTTGTGCAACCATCCTGCTTTCTTCTTGGATTTTTTGTTTTTTTTTTCCAGTGGTATTGTGCTGCACTGGGCTTTTATAATCATATTTTTCAGAGTTTCCCCTTTTTCTTAAATTGTTTTCCCTTTTAGGATTAGATTCTGCCCATTGGGTAAATAGGTTTTATATATAGTTGATACATCTTCTCATCAATGCTGAAGACGTTGATTAAGTTCAAGAAAGGGGCCATGTTAGGGTCTGCTAAATCTATCTGGTTTTTCAATTCCCAGCCCGTTTCCTGGAGATGCATTTGTACATGACCTCAGCACTTAACAAGAGTGACATGAAGGCTGTTGGCCTGCAGATGGCATTGGATCTACTAGCAAAAAAAGAGAAGAAAGACTCAATCACAGGCCTCAGGACCAGAACAAAGCCTGGGAGGCCAGACTGGAAAGAGGTGGGTTTTTCCTCTAAACCACACCTAAAAACATGTAGTCATTTTGTAGCTCAGTCCAGATTGTAACTTGTGTTAGAGAAAGTCTTTCCTGCAGTTGATTTTACGGCTAGAGACCACTCTCTGGATGTCCGGACAAAAGCTCTTAATGACAAGCAACACAGGGACAAGACAAGATAAAGTCTTCCCAATCAATAAGCAACAGCAAGCATCTTTTATATCCTTGAGCAAGCAGTAAGAAAGATTAATATAACAATCGACAAGACAGTGAGGTCTACACATCTGGCACCAGTTCCTACCTATCCATAGTCCAAGAACAGGGAGAGGTCTGTTCTAGTTTCAGATGGAGTTGCTTAAGCTATCTGGATTTGTTCTCCTCCCTTGGACACAAGGTGCCATGAGAAAGAGGGGCAACATCCTGGGCTGCTGGGGAGCTAAAACCTATCCTGAATCTTAGCGGAGCTGCATTATTCTCTGCAAACAAATCACATCAATCAAGGGGGTGGCAGCTCCTCTGGGCCTTTAGATCCCAGGTTCTTTTCTCAGAGGGCAGGTCAGCGGTTGGAGGGGAAGGGTTACAGCAGTCCACTCTTCCGAAATTGCTATTATCCAAGGAATCACACCAAGCTTGCTCCTGCGTTTGCCAACCTCTGAAAATATATTAGACCCTATTTGTGCAACTTTACATCCCGTGGCATCTTCTTCCTTTGCTGTTGCAAGTTGAAGGCTATTCTTTTGGGGCAGTGGCCATATTTAGAGCATGAGAACGTACGTTGGCTATCCCTTCTCAAAAGGATTGCTGTGATAAGCAATTGTAGCCTTAATACAAGGAAAGGGATACAGAAAACTCTATGATACCCTGCCCCACATTTTGCAGCTTACATAGAATAGTCATTCTGGATAATGTTTTATAGTCATAAAACTAATCTGGCACAATCATAACAGGGCATCATAGAGTTTTCAGTATCACTTTGGGCCATCAAGTGGCCACCTGGAGTTTTTCAGCTCAGCTGTATAAGGCTGACAGCTCAATCTTACAAAAGAGCTGGCTCCAGGCTCTTTGAGGGCCTTTTCCATGAATGAAATCTCCAACATGTATTTTTGAACACTATAAATGTTATCTCAAGAAAGGACAACTGTAGGTCAAGAACATTTGTCATCTGTAATTAGATATTCTTAAGGATCTTCTTTTACTTACATTGTTCATAAAGACTATGGAAGATTTTTAACATCCACATATAACCGCTAGATAAGGTCACGGAGAATGGAATGAAGTGTATTCTATTCTGCTCATCTGGTGCATCACGTCAGTTGGGTCCGATCTTGGAATGAGGATCAAGAAAGCGAAACTGTGCCCTGACAAAATGGAATAATGGCTACTAGAAACTTTAAGCAGAAAAGAGAAGTTTTATGTCTTCGGATGGAGTTGTTTTCCCAAGTCAGATTGATGAAGATGAAAAGTCCACTCAAGCATCAGGAATCTGAGAATTAAAACAGCTGGCTGGAGGATTTGACAGAGCCTTTCCTGAGCTCTTACTGAGAAAGAGGAGATATATAGACTTATAGCTAGGCAGGCTTAGAGGCCGATTGGAATGCCACTGAGCAATGTGTTAATTGCTATCAAAAGGGAGGCTGAAAGAGACAATGCATTTCAGCTGCTGATGGCTTTTTCTCTCTTTCTCAGCTCTTTCAGAAAATTGACAAAGAAGACAAAGGAAAAGTCCAAGTTTTCTTTTGTGGGTCTCCAGCTCTTGCCAAGGTCGTCAAAGCTCACTGTGAACAGTTCAGTTTTCCCTTCTTCAGGGAAAACTTCTAGCTGCAAGATGGACCAGTCTGGCTTGTTTTTAATGGCTTGTTTTTAATGAGCTCAAATATTCTCTTGTTTTCGTCCCTTTGTCATTATAGTAAGTTGCATAGTCAGCCCAATGTTTAGATTGGATTTGGCATTTTATCCACTCTATTAAGTTCTTCCCAAGGACCTGGGACAGGCAGATGTTGTTTTATGGTGTTAAATAAAAATCATTATCATATATAATTATTATATTACACGATGACCACGATGATGGAAATATGTACAAGGTTTGCATAGAGCTGGTAAGAATCTCTTTGCTTGCTTGCTTATTTAATACAAGTCTCTTTTGCTTTAACTAACTCCATACAAGGCAGCAAGTAAAGTAACATGTGGAAATAAATGTAGAATAATAGCAATAAAAGTATTAAGTCTAATGCATTATGAACTGACAATGCATCAAAATAAAGAATACTGCAAAAAATCTCCTCTGTTCTTTCTCCACTTGCTTTTAATCATGAGACAAACAGTCACTGGAAATCTTTTTTTTCAGGTTTTTGGACATTCGGCCTCTAAAAGGTTCGCCATCCCTGGTATATGTTTTTGAGCTTGGCTTTCTCCGCTCCCTTCTATTTCTTTTAACCAGAAGAGGGCGCTCCAACATAAATGTTTAAAGTTAAATTCAAACACCTTTTGTGCCGCCCCGCCCCCTACTCTCTGCGATAGGCAAACGGCTACTTCTGCTGCACCGCCATTGGCCCCCTCTGGCCTCCGCTCGAAAGAGAGGAATGGCTTTGCCATTGGTTTCGGGGGCGCGGCGCGCTGGCGATTGGACGAGCCCGGCTTTAATCGACGGCGTCCTGCAGAGGCCCTCCCACCGAGGCGCTCTCGCGGGAAGTCGGCAAGAAGAGGGAGGAGTCGCTTTCCTCCGTGCCGAGCTGTCTGCGACTGGCGGCCCGACGGAGAGGCCGGCGTGGGCGGGGGGGAGCGAGCCGGACTTCCCGAGCGCGTCCGAGAGGGAGGGGCTCTGCTCATCGCCGGGGGCGGGTCCCGCGTTGCCAGGGAAACGGAGGCGCGCCAGCCGGGGCCGGCCCCGAAAGGCTCGCGCGGGCGGCGGGACGGCGCGGCCCTTCGGATGCGGGGCGAGCGAGGGAGCGAGCGGGCGGCCGCGCTCCTGCTCTGCCCGGGCTCCGCTGGGCTCTCGGCTCTCACGCACTTCCCTTAAGGCTGCCGCCCCTGCTACGGCGAGGACCGGCTGAGCACCTCGGAGCTGCCGGCGGGCGCGCGGAAGGGCCGGGCTGCCCTCGGAGCCTCCGTGCGCGCCGAAGAAGGAAGGCCGGGCCGCTCGGCGGGGGGGACTCCTCGGGCGCTGAGATGCGACGGAGGCGGCCGTCGCGCGCTGCAGGCGGACTCGAGGCCGGGGCCCGCGGCCGGTTGCGCCTTGGCGGCGTCCCGTGACGGTGCCCGGAGGGCGGCTGAGGGGGCCGCCGGCGACCGACTTCCTCCCGCCGCGCCCTTGACTCGCCGGCCGACCCCGCGGAGCTTCGCCCCAGAGACGCCCGACGGCGCCGCTTCCCCTTCCCGCTGCGGCTTCTGTGCGACGACCGCTTGAAGCAGCCCGGCTCAGCCCGAGGCCCTCGAGGTGGGTTTCCTCGCTGCCTCGGGAGGGCCGGCCGCCGGCCGCCTTCGCCTGCTGGGAGGGAGGGAAGGAGGGCGGCCGTCCGTCCCGGGGACCTGGGAAGCCGGTTGGCCTCTTCGGGCCTTGCGAGGCTCTGCGCCGATTCCCCGGCCGCCAGTCTCATCCTCCCTCGCTGAACCGCTGCTCGGCGCCCGGGCCCGGATTTGCCCCCTGCTCCTCAGGGGAGGAGAGCGCCTCTGGCCGGATTATTCGGAGCACCAAGTCCGGGAGGCCGGACGAGGAGGCGTCCCTTCGGTCTGTAGGGCTCCTGGCGACAGTCGGAGGAGGAAAGACCCCCCCCCACTTGCCCCCATGCCCTTCCTCCCCTCCGGGAGGCCCTGGCGGCTCCGGCTGATGGCCGGAGCCGGTGTGTTGCCCGCCAGGCTCTCGTCCAGGGCCCCGTGATGGAGGTTGGACGGTCATTAGAACTCCTAATGAAGGAGTGAAGGCTGCTTTAGACAGTGATGGGCTCTTGCCACAGGTGGCCTTTACTGGTTCTTTATTGCTAACATCCAGGGGTAGGCAACCTTGGCGCTTTTATGGCTATGCTGGCTCAGGAATTCTGGGAGTTGAAGTCCACGAGTCATAAAAGAGCCAAGATTGCCTATCCCTGTGTTAGACCTTCACGGGCAGGCACAGAGGTCCCATTTGCTGTAGCACGCAATAGAGTGGCTAAATTACCCTCAACCAGCTTCCATCCATTCTTCCATATTTTTCAGATGAGCTGCTAGTTGGAAATGTTATGTTACATATGCTCATTTTCAAGAGCAGTGCTATGCATTGTCGGTAACGCAGACTAGGCATCTGAGGCTGCAGCAGCTTCTTGAGGTTTGTGTGAATGATGCAGCCTTGGCAAACAGCTGCAGAGACACAACAGGCTTGAGTCTGCTACTACAGTATGGGAAAAAAGATTTTCTGCCATCTGCTTCCATACTGTGGATTGTTTATTTGTAGAGCGTAAACTGCAAAGGCCTATGGTGATTAGCAGCTGGCTGCTAGCCCAGAAAGATGCAAAGCTGGTCTAGTAGTGCTTGGCAGTAATTTGAGGGAAACAGTTATCCCTGAGCTCTTTTTATTATCAAATAAATACTTTGACAAAGATACAATATTTGCATTTTACAATGTTGATTCTGTCCAAATATTCCCCCAGGGACTGGGTGGATACATGCGCATGTGCGCACACACATGTACACACAACTGCTTTCAGGTCAGTTTTGATTCCTGGTGATTGACTGGACTAATCACTGCAGTTTTCTTAAGGTTTTTTTTTTTTTTTTTGAAGCAGTTTACCATTGCTTCCTTCCTAGGACTCTGAGACAGTGACTGGCCCAAGGTCATGGCTAACTTTATGTCATAGGGAGGATTAGAACTTACTCTTGCTCAGGGGTTTTCAAACTTGGCCCTTTTATGACTTGTGGACTTCAACTCCCAGAATTCCTCTGCCTGGCTGAGGAATTCTGGGACTTGAAGTCCACAAGTCATAAAAAGGCCAAGTTTGAAGACCCCTGCTCTTGCAGTTCATTTTCTCTGGTACTTGTTTTTACTTGCTATGTTAAGTTTGGATTCAGACCTCTGCCTTTACTGGGAGTTCTTTGTGTTCAGGGATGCCTCTAGACTCTGTAATTTCTCTTTTAGTAGTCCAATTAATTTACATTTGATGCAGGTATAATTTGAATTTTCTCTAGGCAGGAATACAAACAGGGCACAGACTTTGCAAAACATTTTCTCTATAACTTAGTTATTGTCCACGTAAATGCTCCCAGTAAGTTCAAGAACGATTAGTCTTTTGCTCCCTCTTGTGGCTAATGTTGAAATTAATACTGTAGCCTTTGGTTCCCTTCATTCTTTTAAAAATATATATTTTTATTTAAAAATGAAAACTTTTTTTAAAAAACAGTGTGCTTGCTCTTTCCCCAAGAGCGATCAGCTGGGGATCGGCACTGTTCTGGTTGCATATTGTTTCATGTGCCCAATCTGCTCTTTCACTCCGACTTTTAATTGAATCTAACTTTTATTTTAGGTATGGTATGAATATGCGTTGCTTAGCAGCTCGGGTGAACTATAAGACTTTGATTGTCATCTGCATTTTCTTCTCCTTGATTACCATCCTGCTGTGGAATCGGTGCACCAGTGGAAAAATATCACCTTTCCCGCATGACTCGAGCGACGGTGTGAAAGCAGGTGGAACAGAGAAGCGCGTGGCTGCATCAGAGAGCGGCCAGTGTGTGAACAGAGCAGCTAAGCAGCAGAGTGAGGAAGCGTCGCCCCAGGAACAGCAGAAGGCTCCCCCCATTGCTGGGGGCTTCCATGGCAACAAAATCTTAGGGCTGAAATACGAAGAAATTGACTGTCTAATCAACGATGAGCACACCATTAAAGGCAGGAGGGAAAGGAGTGAGGTCTTTCTGCCTTTCTCGTGGGTGGAGAAATACTTTGAGGTTTACGGGAAACTTGCCCAATACGATGGCTACGACCGGTTTGAGTTCTCCCATAGTTACTCCAAAGTATACACCCAGAGAGCCCCCTACCATCCAGACGGCGTCTTTATGTCATTTGAGGGCTATAATGTGGAAGTCCGGGACAGAGTGAAATGCATCAGTGGGGTTGAAGGTTTGTTATTTTTATTCAAAATACGTCAAGATTTATGAGGATAGCTAAATTTTGATTCGATGCTTATGTTAAAACTTTAAAACTAGAGGTTGCTTTCAGTATTGGAAGCTGAAAGAAATAACCCACCAAAAGGTTTTGTCCTTTATTTCAAAAACCAAGATGGATTTTAATCAGAAATTTAATGAACTAGTTGAGGTTCATGTTAATTATATTGTTTTTGTTCCATAGTGAAACAGAATAAACACGACCTTTGAGAACACAATAAATTTACAATGGCATCCATGATATAAAATTAAACATAAAAAACCAAGCCATAGGTTTTGTCCTCCATTGGCTCTCTAGAGCCATCCGGTGTCTAAAAGCCAATAAGGGAGAGGAGGAAACCTCTTTCCGCGGGAGGGTGTTCCCTGATGCAAGCACACAGGAAAGAAGCCGTGATTGGGTCAGGCTGGTGTTCCTCAACCCTGGCAAATTTTAATTCAGGTGGACTTCTATGCCAAACTCTGGCATAGAATTCTGGGAGTTGAAGTCCACGTGACTTAAAGTTGCCCAGGTTGAGAAACATTGCGTTAAGCCCTCCCAATTGCGTTGGATAGTATCCCTTGGTATTTGCATAGTTGGTTAGAAATAGGCTACACATCTGTCAAGGCTTAAATACAAAAAAATCCAGTTAAGCATTATTATTTGAAACCTTTAGAAATCCACACTGAGCAGTATCTTTATACCGCATACTGCCGCACAGTTCCCAGAGACCGGTGAGGTCCCATAGATTGGGCCTCCTTCAGGTCCCATCGGCCAGACAATGTCGGCTGGCGGGCCCTCGGGGAAGGGCCTTTTCTGTGGTGGCTCCGACCTGGTGAAATCAACTTCCCCCCGAGGTTCGAACTACTCCCACCCTGCCGGCCTTTAAGAAAGCCGTTAAAACTCTCCTGTTCTGGCAGGCCTGGGGCTGATGTCCCCAGGGGGGGGGGATATGATCGGACTCGCAGTATGATTGTATTATTTTATTGTTTTATTGTTGATGATTGTTTTAATTTTGTACGCCGCCCTGAGTCCTTTGGGATTGGGCGGCATATAAATAAAATTAAATAAATAAATAAATACCAACTGGTGCAGTACCTGTGAGGTTTTAACATTCCCCAGAAATGTTAGTCAGACGATGGTAAACAAAAACAGGAAATATGCCTGTTTTGAAATTACAGAAACAGATCAAGCATCCCTAGGCGGCCACATGGGAATGTTCCAGGAGAAATGCTGGGATGTTTCAGGGATAAAAGCCACCCTGGAGTTTGACACAGAGATGTACGGAATGTTCTCTTACGTTTCAGGTGTGCCGCTTTCCACGCAGTGGGGACCTCAAGGCTACTTTTATCCCATCCAAATTGCTCAATATGGGCTCAGCCATTACAGCAAAAATCTGACTGAGAAACCTCCCCATGTTGAAGTGTATGAAACGGCGGAAGAGAGGGAGCAGGGCAGTCAGCCAGGCAAATGGATGGTTCCGAAAGGCTGTTTTGTCACGACAATGCAGGACAAATCCAGATTCACAAATGTCAAGCAGTTTGTTGTTCCTGGTAAGTCAATGTAAGGCAAGTGGACAGCAAGTTGCCTTTCTTTTTATGTAAAATTCGCCATTCCTGGTTCATGACTCCCATTCTGGAGACCCAGAAGACACGAGGAATGTACACAGTTTTAGTCAATATACCTGGTCATCGCTTCCCACCCTCACCCCACTGTTTCCAAATAGTCGAACTCTCATGAGATTGGTGTGTGTGCACAAAAACTCACTTGAGACTGCCAAAATCTTCCAATTTGAATGTCCCTGATTTAGCACTGTACATACCTGGTTCCAAACGAACACATGTTGAGGAAGTCACATGGAGTCTGATTTTATTGTGGCCTGGACAGCATTCACCCTAACACCCTGGTTGACCAAGTGTTGTAGGAAGAATGTCAATGTTCCAGAAATGCCTTTCATGATAATATTGAGCTGGGTAGAGTAGAGGGACGGAGCAGTGCCTGATCAGATAGAGCGGGGGGTGGGGGGTGGGGGTGGCAGATGGAAATGAGGCAGGCAGGAAAGAAGAGCTTTTTGGGTGTTAAATTGAGAAAGGAATAGGTGGCACCTAAAAAATGTGAGCAACAAGCATTGATGAGGCTGGGAAAGGCCTCAAAAGCCAGAGACACTCATTTGAACTGTGAGTTGGAAATTTCTAATTGATTTCTACCAATAGGGATATTGCTGCCAGATTTAGCTTTATAAAGAACAAACTTTTGGCCTGACCTTTCTTCATGTTTTTAATGTGTAATAATATTGCTGGTCTATGATGGTAATAAAGTTGTTATTATTATTAATGTGTAATAATGAAGGGACTCAAGCTGATATATTTATTTCACCCTATCGATTGTGATTCCTTGGGCATTTGCTAAAACATGCATCTTGGCTGATCAGCTAATTGAGGGAACCACTTTGATGGGTCAGTTCTTCAGTACACAGAAAAAACCCTTACACTTTGCTTCCTGACCATCTCCGTATTTCTTCATTTGTTTCCCTTCAGAAAACTCCGAGGGAGCATCTCTCCAGCTGGGAAACACAAAAGATTTTGTCATCTCTTTTGACCTTAGATTAACAACAAACGGGAGCGTTTCAGTGGTTCTTGAGACAACAGAGAAGAACCAGCTGTTTACGGTGCATTATGTCTCCAATTCTCAATTGATTGCTTTTAAAGACAAAGACATTTTCTATGGAATTGGGGCCAGGACCAGCTGGAGCACAATCACACGAGATCTTGTAACTGATTTAAGAAAGGGTGTTGGACTCTCTAACACAAAAGTGGTCAAACAGACCAAAATTATGCCCAAAAGAGTGGTGAGGCTGACCGTGAAGGGAAAGGGCTTCATAGACAACATCACAATTTCAACCACTGCCCACATGGCAGCCTTTTTTGCTGCCAGTGATTGGCTGGTGAGGAACCAGGATGAAAAGGGTGGCTGGCCAATCATGGTAACTCGGAAACTAGGGGAAGGATTTAAGTCTTTGGATCCAGGTTGGTACTCTGCCATGGCACAAGGACAGGCGATTTCCACCTTGGTTAGGGCTTACTTGTTGACAAAGGACCATACGTTCCTCAGTTCGGCTTTGCGGGCAACAGCCCCTTACAAGCTCCTGTCCGAGCAGCACGGCGTGAGGGCTGTCTTCATGAACAAGTATGACTGGTACGAGGAGTATCCAACCTCACCCAGCTCCTTTGTTTTAAACGGATTCATGTATTCTCTAATTGGGTTATATGATTTAAAGGAGACAGCTGGTGAGAAGCTAGGAAAAGAAGCAAAGCTCTTGTACGACAGGGGCATGGACTCCTTAAAGGCGATGCTCCCGCTCTACGACACGGGGTCAGGAACGATCTATGACCTTCGCCACTTCCTCCTTGGCACAGCTCCCAATTTGGCCCGGTGGGATTATCATACCACCCACATCAATCAGCTCCAACTGCTGGGCACCATAGACGAGGCCCTCGTGTTTAAAGAGTTTGTCAAGCGATGGAAGAGCTACCTGAAAGGCAGCAGGGCAAAGCACAATTAAGCTGAGCTGATAACCAAAACCACATTTCCTTGGTCTGCCGTGCTTGGGAACGGCCATCTTTTAAGTAGAGGAGCGGACCTCTTGAACAATGGTGTCTGGGGTGTGTGCGTTTGTGTATGTGTATGCTGGGTTTTTTTAAAATGATTTCCTTGAAACTCCTTTATAATCAATTGCATTCCAGAGGATAAATATTTTAGATTTGGAGATGACATTAGAGCAGGCATCCAGTGATTGGACTGAATCAAAACTTAACTGAACTCGTTTATTTATCATAGTGATTCATGCTGCTCAATGCAGAATATAATGTATACTTCTTCTTTTCCCCCCTCCTTTTGAGAGATTACAGACTCCCTATTTTGTTGCCTGGAATTTTGCAGAAAAACGAGAATCCATTTTTCCTTTCCTTAAAAAGAAACAGGTTGTTTTTTTTAAAGTAGCTTTATTGTATTGCTTGTATTTTCCAGATTGGTTGGTATGTTTTTTTTTCCCTTGTGGAAATGTTTTGGTTTCTGTATTGAGGGATAAATCCAGTAGTGATTTTGTTAATTCTTTTTAAAATCTCTTGGGGATGAGACTTCTCCAGGAATGTTGGTGAAGCTCCTTGGAAGCAGAAGGAGCTGTAGAAGGTGCACCCGGTGTTTGCCTACTTCTCAATTGCCTCTTGTGAGGTTTGCACCAGAAGTTCTTGGTGGGATGGTGTCCATCTATCCATTTGAATGTTTTGTTCTTCGAGCACAACTTAAAGCAGGATGAGTTGATTGCACAAATATTGTAGCCATTTTGACTGTGTCTCCCTTGCCTTGATCAGCATTCTTCCACTGAATTTTGATCCTGTTACTCTTTTTCATGTAACACCGTTTGGGTTTTTTTGTATGTAAATACAGTTTAATTTCTTGAGAAATTTGAACTGTTTTCTTTCAGGCTTGTATTGGTTGAAATACAGTGTATATTATTTGGAAAAATAATTCTCTGATTTTGTTAGAATGTCTGAAATACAACAAGTGGTTTGCTTGTTTTTTTTTTGCAGCCACTCTTGATCATGAAAGTGAGTTGAATGTTCCTGTACTTTTTTAAATTACATAGTATGAATCAGATATTCATACTACTTGTTTTACATTTTTTTCCTGCCTAGCCAGTTTTCTAAACAATGCTAGCTACTTGGGACTGTTATTTAAATTTCTGTTTCTAAATTCTGCCTAAGGACATGTTCTTGAAAAAACTCTGTGGATATCTGGAATTTGTCATTGTATTGTCAGAGCAGTTCTGTGAAACTCACATGCATCTGTGTAGATACTCTGAATCGTAGAGTAACCTCTGTTTTCTCTAAGCAGACTGATGGGGCTTCCATCAGAAAGAGTTATGCCATCTCTGTCGCAAAATGCCATTTTCGCACTTGAAATTCTTCTCAATCTGCATCTTGCTTATAAGCAGTTTTTCTGTGTTTGGCTGTTTCTATATAGCTGATAGAAAGTGAATATATAAATGATTTATTCCTATAAATCATGCTGCCTGCCTAAGAATCAGCTCAGAGGGTCAGCTTTTTTCATAGAAGTTGAAATGTCACTGGATGATATTTTAGCATATCAGCTAATCTAATTCCGTTTATAAGCAATTCACAATCCTGTCTAAAAGCTTTGTGAGCCTCAGTTCTCATGCAGCACAACCAGATACTGTACATTGCAAAAACAATTGCTTTTCCTTCCCATATTGCAAAATGTAGAGAAATAATAAAAGGTATATTTTAGTATTTTAAAGCTTTGAACACATTCTGACATTTCATTTTTTTTTCATATATATTATAGCATCAACCTCTCTGTTAAAGAGCTGTTGGGATCTTTTGATTTCAGAATCCTTCCCAGTGTTCATCTTTTCTCATGAAAACATGCCTCATTTCAAACTTTTTCATTTTTAGAAGTACCTCTGCAGCCCTCCAACTATCAAGTCTCTTGATTTTTAAGAATGAGAGAGAGAGAGAGAGAGAGAGAAAGCGCTGTGTCTGTCTGAAGACGCAAACTTTAGAAATCTTGCATGTAGTTCTTGGAGCAGAGAATTTGGGAGGAAGAATATGTAGACTGCAAAGGGGAAGCTGTGGTTGTCTTTTGTACACAGAACTTCAGAGAATGAAAATACTGTTGGTGGAATAGACATGTAAGTTAATATGTTCTTATTAAGATGGGCACAAAGGGTAATAACATTTTCTTATGGACAGGATCAAATAATTGTGTTCCAGAAGCAGTTTCCATCTGTTTGGCAGCCAGTCATCCCAGTTTCCCCACTACTTTGTCACTCCTCCCATCCGTCTAGTTCTGTCCAGAAGAAAGCTATCCCATTCCCTGCATGGATCATTGATTGCTGCTGGGTTAAATAGTTAGAGAGCTATAGACAGAACACAGATGAGATTTGGAAATGCTCACCCTCATTGTGATACCAAAAAAGGACATAGGACGTTTTCCCATCAACTGATTATGTATATATCCAAGCAATATATGAATTTCCCCTTATTTTTGCAGTTGGTGGCCATTTGTATTTGAAGCAGTGTGTACAGATTTCTTGATTGTGCCGCTTTGTTGATTTGTTAGTGCCTTAACTCTCGTGTTCATAACTTTCTCATGCAGTAAGAACACCGGCATTGCTCATTCTGTGGCTCCCTCATGCAAACCTCCTTAGGGTATCCAGGCTTGTAGGTCTTGGCCCATTGGGATAATAGTCAACCGTGGCACACTGGCTCCTTTACAGTCTCTTGTCAGAGAGAAACCTAGAATTCCCCTAGAATTTTCAACAGGTTGAAATAGCTAGAAGATGACAAGGGTTCCCTTAAAAGATCAGAGGCAGCTGTTGGCAAGCTGCACTATGAGCAGGAATCGCCATGTATGATGGGAGAGATTCACCTTATATGGCGGTGTCATCTGAATGTGGTATTACCACTCCTGACACACTTGATTTGTTACACTTGTCAATCTTTGTAAAATTGATAACTAGTTCAGTAATGCTTGTATGATGCAGTCAGCTATTCACCTCTTCCTGCTTTGGATTTGACCTTGTCATCAGTGGCTTTTGTGAATTATAGATGGTGGCAGTCACTGGAAGCCACTTGGTCTCCTTGCTTAAGAAATGTCATGTCTGCATTAGGCCTCATAGTTCTATAACAAAGGGTTTCAGAAGGCAAAGTAAAATGTAAAAAACAGGGGAAGTTATAGGAAAGCCAGAACAGAATAATTTCAGGAACAAGGATTATGCACTTGTGGTTTCAGAGCTTGCAACTCCTCCTGTTTGCATTGTTGTACAGAGAGGTTTGCACTGTGTTTAAGGAGACAGCGGCTCAAGCACAACCATCGGCATGTGGCCGTTTCCGGTGCCATTCTCAGTGATTTACTGCCAAGCAGGTGCTTCATCTTCCTGCTTCTTGTGTGTTCCTTTTGTTTTTACTTCCTTTACATACAGGATTTACACAAATATGCAATAAATTGTTTACAGGATGCCCTTTGAAGGGCAGTGAATCCTTTGTATAATTGTACAGACTTTGTGGTTTAAGCACAATGTGCACAGGCTAGTTTTCTATATGGCAGGACATGAATTTTTTTGCAGTAGGAATTATCAGATATATGGAATTGACTTTGTCCTTCATGTAAAGTTGCTTTATAAAATAAAATAAAGGTTTTTAATGTCTTATTGTCCTTTGGTGTGTCTACTAATTGTACTGCAGTTGTTTTCATAATGTAAGAGTGTCAGAAAATAACTTTGGGTCTGGATGCAACAACCTACTTCAAGATGTGGTCAGACACTGTTGGATTTTTTCACTATAAGTAAGCAGGAAGATTACACAGCAAACATTTATTCCTTTCTCAGAAAAAGTTTCTTTCAATATGTAAGAAACAAGAAAAAAGTCAAGGAAATGATGGGCCCACTAACGGGAAAGACGACGAGGCGATGGCTGGCAGGGAGCAAGTGGACTTGCTTAGTTCAGTCTTTACATCTATCTTCATGCCAAAAGAAAAAATACTCCAATTTGACATAAAGCAACACTGGAGGACACAAAATATGACTGCGAGTCAAAATAGGCAAGAAAATGGTAAGACAACATCTAGCCAATCTAGATGACACCTAGCTCCTCTAGATGAGTTCAAATCACCAGGGCCAGATAGATTCCAAAGGAGCTGGCAGACCTGATTTTGGAATACTGAACAAAATTTTTCAAACCTGGAGCACTGGAGAAAAGAGCTGATGTGGAGGCTTCTCTGTCTTCAGGGTCACCTGAGTGGTGCAAGTGGGTGTGGTGCCTTCTTGGGACTGTTGTGTTGTAGACAGGAGATAGATGATGTCGGATCCCTCCCCCTCTATTGAGAGAGGGATGTCCAATTTTGACCTAGATGTCCTCTTTGACCCCTCTTTCAAATCAGCAGTTTCCAAAATGTGGACTTCCGCTGTCTTCAAAAGAATGGTCGTTTGTCTTTTAAATGCAGATGGACTGCTGACTTATCCTGATGGATTTGTTCTCCTATGTCATGTCATGCTTTTGTGGAGTGGTGGTTTTGTTTCCCCAATGTACAGATCTGTGAAAGGTCTTCAAAGAAAAACAAGAAAGTCCAGTTGCCTCTTGAAAAAGCACCTTTGGGACAACCAGGACCTGGATGACTGAGAATCTCTATAGGCATCTTGCCAGTCAGTTTCTAGAACGTAGAATCCTAGGCTGGAAGGGATTTATTATATTTTCCCCAGAGCTGGAAAAACTAAGAGCCAGGGCTCCATTCCACCCAGACAAAACAAATCACCAAATTACATGTTTACCTCTCCTGAACACAGGAAGAGCGACTGCTGAATAAGCTTCTGTACGTCTTTAGTTACCACTCCATTCGTGCAACTGCCCCTCCCCCCAACAAGAAAGATGAGCAACTGCCCCTCCCCCCCAGCAAGAAAGATGTGATATGTTAGGAAAGCCTGACTTTCTTGCCCACTTTGGGGTAAGTATTATTTTCTTGTGTGGCTGCTATTCCAAAATAACCACAGGAGCGCACTCTTTGCATGCCCTGTGTTATATATGGTCTTTTTAGTCCGTTTCAGGCTGCTATTTCGAAAATAACCACAGGTAGGCACTCTTTACATGCCCTGTGCTATAGATGGTCTTTGTAGTCTCTTTCTGGCTGCTGTGCCCAATAACCCACAGGAGGTTATTTAAGTCTGGTTGAAAAGCCCTGCTCTATAATTATTAATATCAAGGCTTCTAATAATAAAGATGCAGAAGAATAACCTCAAAATCCCGACCGTTCTGTCCCCTGAACCTGTCTTTCCCTCTCCGGCTGTAAAACAGGGCCCAACGGCCATTTTAGAAATGCAGATGGGGCAACTAAGCCTGAGAAAGAATCTCTGAAATTTATGTTTCCAACATATGAACTGTATCTCTATGTTCCCAATTTGGCCTCTTGTTTTTCTCCCTCTGAAGTGGAAAGGGCACAAAGAGACCCAGCCTCCCAGTCTCTCGTACCGGCATCCAGCCGCCTCCTTGGGGACAGGAAGTCGGCCATGCCGAGTAGGTCGTTCTGAACGGAAGTGGAAGGACGGCCACAGAAACGGACAGGAAGTTGGCCATCCCGGGGAGGTCAGTGTGTAGGACAGTGGAGAACTACTGTGCATGTGTGACTGGAAGTCGGCAGGTAAGGTTGATTTCCTTGTGTGGCTGCTATTCCTGCCTAAGGCTGCGTTCTGATGACTTGGCCCCTAAAATAACAAACATAGTCTTTCATATCTTGGGAAAGCCTGACTTTTTTGCCCTCTTTTGGGCAAGGAAAGAGTAGGGCCTGAGGTTTGACCCATTTTGCAATTAGAAAAGAGTTAGGTCGACGTAATGCCGTATTCTGATGACTTTGTCCTCAAAATGACCAACACAGTTTGTGATATGTTAGGAAAGCCTGACTTTTTTGCCCTCTTTGGAGTAAGTATTATTTCCTTGTGTGGCTGCTATTCCAAAATAATCACAGGTAGGCACTCTTCATGCCCTGTGCTATAGATGGTCTTTGTAGTCCCCTTCAGGCTGCTATGCCCAAAATAACCAGGCTTAAAATGCTATTCTACTCTTAGGAAAGCTCAGGTCTTTCAGATACCTTGCTGGTCCCCACACACCCCATTTAATCCATTTTCTTGCTGCAGAGAGATATTCTGTTAAGTTCTAGCTGGAACTCCACGTCTCTTATTCTGTTGGTAGCCGCTTTGGTTGGGTTGGTTGTAGCCTATGGATATTTAAAAACAGTGAGGAAAGTCCACAGGAGGCCCGCTTTATGCTCCCATCGCCTGTTTCCTGGGAGAGGGGAAGTTATTTATTGAGACTAAAGCGGTCAAGCCCTCTGGGAAGAATTAAAGAATTAATACGGTTAAAGAAGAAATAGCAGCCACAAAAGGAAATAAACCCTTTTAATATGATTTTAAGATTATTATTATTTATCTATTGAAGCTATTGAATGCTATTAAGGGTCAAAAAACAGTGCCATCCTGTGGTTGAAGCAGGTATAGCAGCCATTAAAAAACTTCAATGGCATTTTAAGGTTATTCTTTATTATTGAAACCTTATTAATATTAATAGGGCATCATAGCCCTCCTTAACTAGGTTTAAGGCTTTTGAAGCAGATTTCTTCTTCCGCGCCTGCGTTGCAGCAAACGGGCCTCCCCTGGCCCTATTAATAAGGTGTTAATACCGTTAATAAAGATAGAGAATACCGTAATCTTAAAATACCATTAAAAAGTATTTATTTCTTTGGGCGGCAACAATACCCATTTTTGACCACAGGAGGGCAGTGTTTCCCGTCCCATAGCATTAACGTTGAGGCCATCGTAGGCCTTTTGCTCAGGATCGGGACACCGAGAAGCTAAGCTCCAAAACGCAGAGCGTCAGCCAAAGCGTCGCCACTCTCTGCTCCGAAAGGGACGGGCCGCTCCCCTCGGTCTTCTGCGCATGTCTGCCGGCTGGTTCTTCACGAGTAATCTCCGAGAGGCCTTCTCAGCTGCGGTTAAAAGGACCTCTCCATCATGGCCGACTTCCGTTCCTTTGTTCTTAATCTTTCCCCCTACTTCCTTTCGGGGAGACCTCCTCAGCATAGAGGACTTCCTGTCCGCTCAAATTCGCCGTCCCCCATGGTCTTTGAAATGCGACCTTCCCAACATGGCCGGCTTTCGGTCCATCCGTCTTAATCATCCTTCAACTTCCTTTTGCGGCGACCTTCTGCGCACGGCGGACTCCACGTCCGGTCAACGAAATAAGCCTTTAAAACCTCATTAAAAAGGCTTATTTCTCTTGGCCGCCGCAATACCCCTCCCATAGCATTACCATCATAGGCCTTTTGAGGCCTTTCCCACGGCCTCAATGCCGCTATCGCTAAGGGAGGGAAAACTGTGCCCTCCCGTGGCCAAGCCGGGTATAGCAGCCACCAAAAGAAATAAACCTTTAAAATGGAAAAAGGGCCTCCCGTCGCCCTATTAATATTAATAAGGGGTTAATAATAAAGACGGGGGAAAAATAAATAGCCTTAAAATCCCATTTAAAAGGTTTATTTTTTTCGTCGACCGCAATACCCGTTCTTGACCACAGGAGGGCACAGTTTGCAATTTTGCTAACTGATTCCAATCTTAAACCGAGTTAAGGCCTATCGTGGCTTATTCATGTGAATAAGGTTTTAATAATCAAGAATAATCATCTTAAAACGCCATTAAAGAGGTTTATTTATTTTTGTGGCTGCAGTATCTGATTTAGCAGGCCTGGCTTAGGAATTCTGGGAGTTGAAGTCCACCAGGGCCTAATGCTTTAATTTCTGGCCGGGGTGGGGGTGGGGATGGGGAGGGTGTTAGTCAGAAAGGACTTCCAGGGCCATCTTAGCAGCAGAATCCAAAACGGAAAGGAAGGGACGAGACAGGTAAGCGGGTAGCTTTGCAGCAAGCAGGAGGCAGATGAAGCCCAGGGTGGTTCCGATATCATTTTGGGTCCTATCGAGTCAGCACTGTTTTTCCAAGCAGAGGGCCAACTTCGGTAGTTGTGTTGCATTTGTCTTTATCCCTCTTTTGGGGCAAGAAGGGCAAAGGTTGAGGGGTCAGGTCAAGGGGTCGGGTCAAAGGCCAAGGGGTCGGGTCAAAGGCCAAGGGTCGGGTCAAGGGGTCAGGTCAAAGGGTTAGGGTTAGGTCAGGGGTAGGCACCTTGGCTCTTTTATGACTGGTGGACTTCAAGTCCCAGAATTCCTGAGCCAACCCTGCTAAGGGACGGAAAACTGGTCAAATCAGATACTGCAGCCACAAAAATTAATAAACCTCTTTAATGGCGTTTTAAAATGATTATTCTTGATTATTAAAATCTTATTAATAGGGCCTTAACTCCGTTTAAGATTGGAACCAGGATTTCTTCTGCGCCCGTTTCGCAGAGACCGGGCCCCCCGTCGCCACGTTAATATTAATAATAAGGCGTTAAGAATAAAGATAGAGAAGAATAAGCTTAAAATGCTATTAAAAAGTATTTATTTCTTTGGGCAGCACCAATACCCGTTTTTGACCACAGGAGGGCAGTGTTTCCCGTCCCATAGCATTAACGTTGAGGCCGTCGTAGGCCTTTTGCCCAGGATCGGGACACCGAGAAGCTAAGCCCCAAAGCGTCAGCCAAAGCGTCGCCACTCTATGCTCCTCCTAAAGGGACGGGCCGCTTC